TGGCAGGGGAAGGATACTGCAAAATCCCCATTCCCTTCCCACCCCCACTAACCTGCTTTCCAGCTCCGTTCTCCTGCGCAGGGCAACCAAAGGAGACCCAGCTGATCAGCTGGGACTCAATGGGAGGCAGAGAAGAGATGGGGGCGGGGCCAGTCAGAGGCAATATTGGCCATTTCTTCCAAACTATTCAAAATGTCTGCTACCGGTTCTCCAGAACCGGTCAGAACCGGCTGAATACCACCACTGGCTGTAAGTCGAGGCTACCTGTACTGTCCTCAGAAGCACCATTCAAAAAATGTGAATGTGCGCAAAGCTAGCCAGCAATGAAATACCTTAGAACGCCATCTACAATATTTGCACAAAAGTTCAGGATTAAATATGGTACAGGGAGCGTATGTTGAATATCTCATGTTTTGATGGCGGCGAGAATTGTATTTGCACAATATTGTGGAAAAAGGAGGAAATTCCTGCAAAGGAACATATCATTACAAAAATATTATGACTCTGAGGAAATGGATAGGTTAACTAAAAATAAAGGGCAAAGAAGACATGGAATACTTCTTAACTTTTGGGACTTGTTTTAGTAATGGTGGAAATTAGAAAACTGGAAGAATATCATTATATATAAGTAAAGGATGTTACTCCTGCTGTTACTATATATTTGTAAATTGACCCAGACAATAAAGTGCTTGCTAAGCAATTATATATGTTAAAGGAAAATGTATAAATAATTTTTTTTAAAAAAAAGTTCATGATTAAGTATCTTCCTTTGACTCCTCTCTTTTGTTCCCTTTCCGCCGAAGTCACGTCAGTGTCCAGCCAAGTTTTGTGAGTCAGCAGCTTCATGTTTTGTTCCCTGAATCACAGCCTCATTTGACTCCTGGCCAGGTACACACAGAGGTGCAGCTTGGCCAAGTGGCAGGTCAGGTTTTTAATCACCGGAGAATTAGCTTGGCAGCATTTTCTTGGATTGCGGTGCCCTGAGCTGACAACTTCCATATCCCCTGGAGACCTGTGAGTCCACTCGGCAGCCCCATGGAGAAGAGCTACCCCTGTCCACGTGTCGACAGCTTCTTAGCATCATCAAGCCCGCTCATGTCAAATAGGACGTCTTGACCCAAAGTTGAAGGACAGGTCAACTGGACTTTCTTGGGGTTTTTTTTTCCTTTTCTTTTGAAGATGTTTTGCTTCCCATCCAAGAAGCTTCTTCAGCTCTGGAGGGAATGGAAGGATTTATACTCCTTGCAGACAGCTGGTCATTTGTATTCTTTTTAGAGAGGCATTGAGGCCACTTGGAGGTTTATCTGCGCCCTCGGGGTCACCGGAGTCCTGCTTGGTGGCTTGGCGGGTGTGGAGCCTTCTCGGTTGGAGGATTTTTTTTTTTTTAACCCTGTGTCTCTTCACCCGTTGAAGACAGGCGCAGGTTGTTGGGAATGAGTTGAAGGATAGTTGAAGAAATATCACGCCAGAGAAAGAATAGTGGAAGCTTGGAACCGGTTTCTAGCGGAGAGAGTGGGTCAACCACCAGTAAGTTTAAACATGTTTAGGACAAGTCCGTGTCCCCAAATTAAACATGAATCAAAGATAAACAGAATAATGAAGAAATAATGAATTAAAAAGAAAAGAAAAGCAAGCTCAAAGGGCAGCCTCAATGGGCCACCAGAGTCATTTGTTTTGTCTGACCTTGGTCTCTCCTCGCATATAAATGAAGGCCTGGAGGTTTTCAAGAAGAGATGACCATTTGTCTGAAATGGAACAGGGTTCCTGCTTGAGCAGAGGGTAGATGACCTTTGAGGTCCCTTCCAACTCTAGTTATTGTGTTGCTTGCTTTGTTAAGGGACACAATCCTCAATGAGTGAGCTCAGGGTCTCGGCGGTTAACGATGGCCAAGACGTGTCTAGCAAATGAGGAATAATGGCCTCTTTTGAGCACGGAGAAGTGGCTTCCCTCAACCTCAAGTTAATGACCTCCATCCTTCACGGCTCTCCAGGGAATCGCAGACATCATTTAGGCGAAGTCAAAACTGATCGCCGGGCTTGCAAAACTAATGCCAGATATACCTTGACGAATCTCGCATCATGCTGTCAAGCCATCTGTTCTTCGAACTGGGGCAGGCGTGCAGAAAATGGGAATTGTTCTGCTCGTCCCTGCTCTCATTTCTCTTCCTAAGTCCAAGCTGGCTCGATCAGTAACCATCACAGCTTCTCTGTGGGTTTTTTTTCTTCTTCTCCCCATCGATTGTCTCTTAAACACGCCAGGGACTCCGGAAAGCGTTTCTGTCTCAGCATCTACAAGATAGCAGAAGTAGGGACAGAAATGACGGTGCACCCACTGGGCCGAAATCCACTTTTCTGTCTCGGTTTAAGGTTACCATTCACACAGCCAATGGCCCACCATCTGGTGAATGCGGAGTAGCTGGTGCATTCACGTGTTAGGATGGTCCTACAAGCGTAGACCGTTTTAGGGGCACGGTGGCTCAGTGGCTAAGACGCTGAGCTTGTCGATCAGAAAGGTCGGCAGTTCGGCGGTTCGAATCCCTACCGCCACGTAACGGAGTGAGCTCCCATTCCTTGTCCCAGCTTCTGCCAACCTAGCAGTTCGAAAGCATGTAAAAAATGCAAGTCGAAAAATAGGGACCACTTTGGTGGGATGGTGACAGCGTTCCGTGCGCCTTATCGGTGTTTAGTCCTGCCGGCCGTATGACCACGGAGACGTCTTTGGACAGCGCTGGCTCTTTGGCTTTGTAACGGAGATGAGCACCACCCCCTAGACCCAGAAACGACTAGCACGGATGCGCGAGCGGAACCTGTACCCTTTACCTTACAAGAGTAGATGAAACTAAACCCAGTCCTCTACTAGTTGACTAATGTCCTTCGGATCTTGTCTGAATGGAATCCTTGCTACGGGTCTTGAAGTTGGTGGCGTCCTTCAAAACATGACTGCCAAATTGTAATTTGTAACACAATTGAAGGAAGGAAAGGATTAAAAAACCATGAACAAGATTAAACTGAGTTAATATCATTTTCGGGCCGTTTTATTCAGTAAACTTTACAGAATTTTGGGGGAGTGGGGTGGGGAGAGGGAGAAGAGAAGGAGGTGGAAGAAAAGGAGATGTTTTCATGATAAAGGAGAAAGAGGAGAAGGAAGAAGAGAAGGAGGAAAAAGAGAAGAAGGAAGAGAAGCAGGGGAGGAGAGGAAGGATGAGAAGAGAAGGAGTAGAACAAAAGGAATGCTTTCATAATAATGAAGAAGGAGGAGGAGGAGGAGGAGAAAAACAGAAGAAGGAGGTGGAAAAAGGAAGGAGCAGGAGGAAAGAAGAAAGAATAAAAAGGAGAAGAAGAAGGGCTTTAAAAAGCTCTATCAATCTATGCTATCTGTTTTAAACAATCCTACTTATGCAGGCAATTAAACCAGATAATTAGCTCCGTTAAGTGCCTCCTTTGTGTAAAAGGGTAGGGGAAGAGATTTAGATGGCTTCTTAGTCAATACTGCAAGAAAAAGGATATTTCCTTTAAAGGGTTCCTCTAAATTAATGACAGAGAAGCCAAGCACCGGTGATTTCTTTTTAGATTTTTCTGTTTTGGGAAAACACAATGATCATGGCTTCCAACTCCCCCGCCGGCCACATCTTTTTGAACCCTTGTGGTACCTCATCATCATATGATCCATAATTCCTGCCTTGATGGATGAACCAAGGAACCTTGAGTGGGTGGGTTTATTGCATTGCATTCTGTTTTTATGCTATTTTTCAATTGCTTCTGTTCGTGTTTCTGTAAATCTGAAGCTGCCGTACGAATCAATTAATCAAACAAAATAAAGAGTTTAAGTGGTTTTTCAAATAGGCTGCTTCAAGGAGCACACCGACAACCCGACCAACGGCGGTCCAAAGCCAATCCGATAGCAAAACATTGGCTTAAAGCAAGACCAAATCAAAAGGAAAGGATTTCATCTCTTTCTTCAGTAACAAACGACAAGAGCACCTAATTAAGACATTAATATATTTCTTGGGTAAGAAACTATAGATGTAAAGACAACCCTTTGGGCTTGTCCCAATGTTTGAACTTGATTTGATAGAGACACCATCAAGACACTGTTGGCAGGAAGTGGATTTTGGATTATGCAAACTCAGCCACGGTGAACCATCATCTAAAAGGGATTACCTTTTTAAATCCACTGTGAACAGACCTTATTAGATATTTGGAATCTGCAATTAAAAATGGTAGGGTCCACCATTCAGCTCATTGGAAGGCTGGCACTGTCTGTTTGTCTGTCTATCCATCATCCATCCTTCTGATTTTTCACTCTATCTATTGGTTGGTCCGTCTGTCTGCCAATACCCATCCCATCATCCATCCATCCATCCATCCATCCATCTACCTATCTCCATCACCATCTATCCATATCTGTCTATCATTCATTTCTACCTTTATCAATCTCTTACCCTGTTTCCCTGAAAATACGACCTACCATGAAAGTAAGTCCTAGCTTGATTTTTAAATGTGCACCCAAAATAAGCTCTAATCAAGATCTCGCCTACTTGACTGCATAGGTAACAATTAAGCTAGGGTGGGGATAGCGGGGTGGAGCTGCCCTACTACTTACTTTTGGACAGTTGTAGCCAGGCCTCACACACTCCGACGCCTGCCTTGCCGGCCCATTTCTTCTGCAGCGGCAAGGCTGGCAAGACTTTCCTGAAGGCCTCTGGAGCTGATAAAAAAGCTCTGGATCGATCCAGAGCTGTTATCGACCGAAGCAGCCTTCAGGGAAGCCTTGCCAGCTGCAGAAGAAGACATTCCCGAAGGCCTCTAACAGCAAAAAGGAGGCCGGGGGGCAACGCATGCAAATGTGGTTAGTCAGTGGATGACATCCCCCCAAAATAAGACCCGGTGCCTTTTTTTGTGGCAAAAAAAAAAAAATTAAGACAGGATCTTATTTTGGGGGAAACATGGTGTCAGTCAGTCAGTCTATCCATCCATCCATCCATCCATATATATCCATACCTGTCTTTCATTATCATTCATCTCTATCTCTATCTCTGTCACCTCTATCTCCATCGCTAACTATCCATGTCCATTGTTATCTATCCAGGTCCATCCATCCATCTTTAATATTCCTCTTCTGGAAAGAAGAAGAAAAAAACAAAATTATCCGGGGGATGGCAAGTCCTGTGGCTCTCGAAAGGCATTCTGGGCATCCATTCCGAATGGAGTCTGGCATCTGCAGACTAATTTTGGGGTAAAAAGCAAAGAGGAATTTTGCCTCCGGCCGCGACCGCCATCATTCCGGCAGAACAGTCCATTAGGCTGCTCCCTGGGATGCGAAGCCAAACAATGGAAAACATTTAATCTCTTCCCTAATTCTGCGTGGTGGGACGGCTCCTTCAACCCACAGTGGCAGAGTCTGTCTACCTGGTGGGTGGGGGGGGTCATTTCCCCCCCCCTTAAGCTTTCACTTCAGCTTGGCCTCCCCCCCCGTTGCATCCCAAGGAAACGCCGTGCATCCCCGCTGCACCTTTCAATGGCTTCATCAGAGTTTGCACCAAGCCGAGCATGAAAGGTAGCTCCGCGCCCAGCAGGCAAGAGAGAGTGTATGTGTGTATGTGCGCGTGTGTGCGCGCCCGCACAACCAATGGGGGGTGGGGGGGGGAAGAGGGGAAGGCAGAAGGAAACATTCGGTCTCCTTTATCCCCCCTTGACTTTTTCCCTTTCTTTCTTTTGACAGGCGGGTTGGCAGAGCAGGGGTGAGTAATGAGGCGTCGTGCGGGGAAAAGGCTTCGACTCCGGAGTAAGCCCTTCTGACGGCTTTCCACGCGACGGATAATCAAGGTGTGCATTTGTGGCGCTTAGCAGGCTGCCTCACCCGCTGCCTGGCTTGGCCTTGCAATTAGGAGCCGCCACACTCTTCGGCTGCGTCAAAAACAGCAGATTGCAACGGCGGCGCGAAGGCCCCTCTGTTGCGGGGCTGGGGGGGGGGGCAGGGGGGGGGCGGGGGCGGGGGGGGGGGGGAGGGAGACAAAAGAAAGGGACGACAAAAAAAAGGAAAGCGCGTTTTGGCCTCTGCAGTCCGACATCCTTTCATGGCAACCGAGTCTTTCTTTTAAAAAAAAAAATGGGGGTACTTCAGAAGTCCAAGGCTCCCATCCCCCACACCCCCCAATTTCCTTTGAGTTGGGGATTCCTCCTTCGTAGCAGCTGAAGAAAAGAGATACAGCCCAGAGGTAAAAATCCACATATGCACCATTTTAAAAAAAGGGGAATATTTGCAACTCGGGGTTGAACTGGGGTCCTTGGGGCTCTGGTTGCTTTCTTGCAGACATTTCAATAGCAGACTAGGGAATGTCATCAGTGCTAGAAGGGGGTGGAGTTTGCAGGGAAGAGGAGGGGGAGGAGGAGGAGGAGGAGGAGGAAGAGGACTGTGGAATCCTTGCTGCTCTCTTGAGCTGGCTTGTTTTCTTGCAGACGTTTCATGACCCAACTAGGCAATACCTTCAGTGGCAGGTGGTGATTGATTGGGCTGTTGTTCACTGCTGGAACCCAGACAATCAAGCAGTAAACAACAGCCTAATGAAAGAATCGCCAAGAAGAAAATAACACTCCCACCAACGCTGACAGGGCAAGTCACTTGTCTATAAACAGAGAACAAACCACACTCCCTTCTAGCACTGATGATGTTAGCTAGTTTGGTCATGAAATGTCTGTAGGAAAACAAAGCAAACTCGGAGAGCACCAAGGACCCCACAGACATCATTACGGCCCTCCTGTTCCTCCTCCTCTCTGCAAACCCCACTTTCTATGAGCACTGATGATGATGTTACCTAGTTGGGTCACGAAACATCTGCAAGAAAACAACCAAGCTCAGAGAGCACCAAGGACCCCCCACAGACACCATGGTGGCTCTCCTCTTCCTCCTCCTCTCTGCAAACCCCACTTTCTCCGAGCATTCAGGGAGCATCGTGGATCCTCGACACAAACCAGCCAACTAAGCCCCACAGACAATCCAGCCAACTAAGACAAGGGAGACATTCTTGCTTTGACAGGCCTTGGGATTCTCCTAGCTCTCGGCACCTCCAAGGAAAACAGCCAAGGTGCTAGAGTCGTAACTGTGTAGGGTTGAAGATGTCCAGGCCAAAGCAAAGAAGGCAAGATGGACAGGTATCAAAACATGGCGCAGATGCCCCATCGCACCCCCAGCAACGAAGTGGGATTTAAGCCGCCGCCCCCCCAATTTGCATTTCAATGCAATTCAGATTACATGCCGCTCATAACGATTAACTGCCCAGATTAACTGCCCAGTTCCGTACTGGTTTCTCCATCTGTTCCTCTGAAAAGGATAACAATAGAGGCAATCAACGTCTGGAGGTCCTTCAGGGCCGCCTTAAGGGAGACAAGAGATCCTTGTGTGGCTCTGGGGTTGCGTGCTTCTGGGCACTGTTGACGGAGGATAATAGAATATAATCTATATCAGGCACTGTTTGGTTGCTTAGGTTAGTCCTCGGTGTTCTTCCAGCAAGGGACATAGAGAATGGCCTTGAGGAACAGAAGGGCAGGAGTTGCAAGAAAGTCAAGATAAGAGGGACTTGAGCTTGGGCCAAGAAAGTAACTTGAGAAAATGCCTCAGATAAGCCCCTCCCTCGTTCACACTAAGTTAATGTGGCAGAGAAGCATATTCACACTTGCAAAATTCTGTTACAGTCATAGCAGTCCTGACTTATCTCAGTTGGGCCTATTTGGTTGGGCTGGACCTGCCTCAGCTATATTTTGTCTGTCTGTCTGTCTGTCTGTCTGTCTGTCTGTCTGTCTGTCAGTCTGTCTGTCATATGGCAATGTTACATTAGCCAATGCTAATACAGAGTAGTTATTTGACTGCATTAGGGCTGTTAACCCATTCGGTTCACGTTCACGTGCTATCCGTGGTGCCCCGCAGAGGGTGAGTTAGCTCCACCCCAGAAAGAAAAGCATCCTGCAGGGTCATCCAGGGCTTTCTCCCTCCGCTTGAAGCCGCCTCGCAAACGGGCGTTGCATCGGGGAAGATCCATCCAGCTCCGGCAGGGATCTGACTGTCTGCGCGAAGCACCGGCTTCTCTTCCCGTCTGAGGGGTTCCTATTTATCTACTCGCACGTAGCTTGCTTTTGAACTGCTAGGTGGGCGGAAGCAGAGGCAAGGGATGGGAGCTCATCCCGCTTAGGCGTCGCTAAGACTCGAATCACGGAAGAAGCTTCAGCATCATATAAGCCTCTGTGCCTCCTATATTGTATTGTCCCATTGCTCATCCAGGTTGTCATTTCAGAGCTGGTCAGGATTGCCAGAAGAAACGGACAAAGCGCTGCAAAAACCCTGCTCACAAACCTCACCCTTTTCCTAAGTCAAGCGGGTCTAGAGGTTGTGGAGAAGGGCACTCCGCCAAAGGAGGAAGGAAGCACAGGGCCTCTTCTGTGCTCTTCCTTCGGCCTGGCATGAAATACCAGTTTGTTTCCTTGGAATGCGGGAAGCAGATTGAGGAGCTGGGATGCCTGCTTCTGGCTGACCCCCAATTCGAGCTCTTGCGAATACCCATTTGCAGATATTTAAAGCCAAGGAAGATCATTAGCTAGCAGAGGCGCTGGCAAGGGAGCACTAACTGGGATTCATAATGCGCCTCGTTCTTGAATAATGAAAAGGCGCAAGTACACACAGACGCCGATCTGACTACGAGCAAAAAAATGCAATGGGAAGAATAAAGTGCTATCTGCGTTGGCATTGCAGATTCTCCCTTGCTTTCTGCTGCTCCCAACCTCAGCGACATAAGAAGAGGATCAGGGAAGACCCTGATAGCCAACTTCCAATATTTGAGGGAGTGTGACAAAGAAGCAACAGTTGGAAACTTATGAAAGAGAGCTCCAACCTAGAATACAGCTCATCTGTCTGGAATCTGCACTGTATATCGGACATTAATACAATTGAGCGAGTCCAGAAGTATTTCACGAGAAGAGTACTACGCTCCTCTGCTCGCAACTGAATACCCTACATCACCAGGCTTGAAACTGTGGGCTTGGACAACCTTGAACTACACCGCCTACAGTTGGACTTAAGCGTAGTACACAACATTATCTGCTGCAATGTCCTACCAGTCAATGACTACTTCAGCTTCAACCGTAACAATACATGAGCACCCAACAGATACAAACTCAATGTCAACCGCTCCAAACTTGATTGCAGAAAGTATGACTTCAGCCACAGAATGGTCGATGCCGGGACTGCACTACCTGACTCTGTTGTTACATCCTCTAACCCCCACTCCTTTAACCTTAAACTATCCACTACTGACCTCACCCCATTCCTAAGAGGTCTGTAAGGGGAGTGCATAAGCGCACCATGGTGGCTCCCGTCCCTGTCCTATTGTTCCCATTTATTTGTACCTATTTCCTGTATTCTTACTCATGTTTATTCTTATACCTATTATCTTGTAAGTGATTGACAAGTCAAATACATAAATAAATAAAAATAAACTAAGGAGAAATTTCTGACGGTGAGAACCGTTAACCGGTGGAATGACTTGCCTTCAGTAGTTGTGGGTGATCCATCAGTGGAGGTTTTAAAGAAGAGACTAGACAGCCATTTATGTGAAATGGTAATAGGGTTTCCTGCTTGAGCAGAGGGTCAGACTAGAACACCTCTAAGGTCCCTTCCAACTGTTATTCTGTTATCATCGAAGAGAGATCCAACCTAAAAAAAACTAAGGAGAAATTTCTGACAGTGAGAACCATTAACCAGTGGAAAAGCTTGACTTCAGGAGTTGTCGGTGCTCCATCACTGGGGATTTTAAAGAAGGAGACAGGACAGTCATTGGTCCGGGATGGTACAAAATCTCCTGCTCAATTAAATTCATGAGCCTTGGTATGAAAATGTTCAGCCTTGGGACCGAGGTTTGCCTTTGAAACCTCAAGGAAGCTTCCCTGCAGAACAGTCTTCCTGCTCCTCAAGCCAACAGAAAGGAGAAAAAGTTCTTTAAAGAACTGATATTTCCACTTTTACAACCTCGGCTCTGCGGCAAATGATTGACTTCCTTCTATTGCAG